GTCGCGCTATAACAACGAACGTGCTCAACTTCAACAATACTCTCCGACTGCAGTTCCATTACTCACTACCTACACATTGTCCTGTCACGTTGTAACCATCTTATATATACCATACTACCACCAATCTAGTAATCTCCCGAAGGTTCGAGAAAGAAGTGGCGTGATACTAGTCACGTGACCTCGCTGACGCAACAGATGGAATTATCCATCCAAACAAATGGATACAAACAAAATGTAAGATTTCTAGTACTGGACTTCTCATAATTTTTCAGTCCAGGGCCCTCCTTTTAGCATTCAAGACCCTCACCATTTGTTAGTTCAAAACAACAAAACAGAATACTCTAATATAATAAAACAATTCTCTGTTTATATTTTTAAATTATTTCTCAAACACAAAATACTAAAAAAGATGGACTTAGTGTGGCTTATATAATGGTTAGTGTTACCAGACTGTGAATCTGAGGATTCATGGTTTGCATCCTGTTACCACAAATACACACTCAATACTTTAGGCCCACGGCCATACTAAAAGAGTGACAGTCAAATCCCACAACACGTATTAATTCTGCCAGGAGTAGCCAAAGAGTTTGATATGGGAAAAGAAAACCTTCTATCAAGTAAGCTACCCAAAAAGTACAGGAACAATTTTGAAATAATATTTGGTCATGTAAAAGGAGAAAAGAACAAAAAACTTGGATGGAGAAAAGAAGAAGGGGAAATAGGAAAATATAGAAACTATCTATTGAATATGTGACATTCGCTTGCTTGCATTCTTTACAAGTGGCCTAAGATGTTTACATATTTGATTCACAATACACAGTACAGCCTTCAAGCTATCACAGTGTGTTCACAAGTTACATATAATAATATTTTTCAACAAAACTTGATGATTTTAATAAGATATTGATGTAATTAGTTAACAGAATTTTTACTGCTTTTGAATTGGAAAAAAAGCTTATTTCTGCGACCACATACCTGTATTGTAACCATCTTAGTAAGAACTGTAGATCCTGCCACACAATCCATCTGTGATCCAAGATCCACAAGCTCCAATGGATAAAAATTCTGTTGTAATAAAACAAAGTGTTGTTATCAATACTTTCAGACAAGATTAGTCATTCCTCTCTGTTCCTAGCCGTCTTGGAAAAAATTGTCAATCAAGAAAAACAACAATTTGAACATGTTTGACAAATATGTGCTGTATAATGTGATACAAAACGTATGTGTTTGCTGCAATTTAGTGTCAACCAAACTGTAATTTTCACTTGTTTTTACATATAGAGTTAACTTTTATATCATCCTGTACGTTTTATAACAACTGTGTGCTATAGGAATTCAAACAATACGTTTCATTAATGATCACGTTTACTAAATTGAATAAAAACTTAGTATACTTAACTGTTGTTATGAAAGTTAACTATCTTTATCTAAAGTCAAAAACAATACAGATTATAGTATTATTTTAAGTATATTTTGGTTTTAAAAGAACTAGTAGTAACAATACATACATAATGTAAAAACAAGAAAAATAAAAGTATTGTTACGCCTCTGTTCGTTTGTTAATTTTCCGTAAAAATTATTTCCGAAGAAACTTTAGCGATACAAGTCCTTTCTTAAATAAAACTGGTTTATTTTTTCTCAATACAACTTTGCAATACACTTAATTTCCACAGTCATGCTATAACTTAAACAAACGCTATAATTCACAAGGAACGAACGATT